GAGGTCCTGGGTCACAAGAAGCACCATCACAAGGAATGGATCACTGTTGATACACTGGATAGGATTCAAGAAAGGAGGAAAAAGAAGGCAGCAATCAATACCAGTCGAACAAGAGCAGAAAAAGCCAGGGCACAAGCTGAATACACAGAAGTAAACAAGCAAGTGAAGTGGAGCATCAGAACCGACAAACGTAAATATGTGGAAGATTTAGCAACGACGGCGGAAAAGGCTTCAAGAGAAGGAAACATGAGACAACTGTATGACACGACAAAGAAACTCTCTGGAAATCGTCGCAAACCAGAACGACCAGTGAAAAGCAAGGAAGGCGAGGTAATCACCAACATTGACGAGAAACAAAACAGGTGGGTAGAACACTTCAAAGAACTCTTGAATCGATCAGCTCCACTGAACCCACCCAATATCGAAGCAGCACCCACGGACCTCCCAATCAATGTTGTCTCACCAACAATTGAGGAGATAAGCATGGCCATCAGACAAATCAAGAGTGGCAAAGTAGCAGGACCAGACAACATTCCAGCAGAGGCACTGAAAGCAGACGTAGCGGCAAGTGCAAGGATACTCCACATTCTCTTCAATAAGATTTGGGATGAGGAACAAGTACCAAAAGACTGGAAAGAAGGACTTCTGGTCAAAACACCGAAGAAAGACGATCTCAGCAACTGTGATAAATACAGGGGCATCACCCTTCTCTCAATACCGGGAAAAGTCTTCAACAGGGTCTTGTTAAACGGGATGAAGGACTGCGTAGACGTCCAACTTCGTGACCAACAGGCAGGATTCCGTAAGGATAGATCGTGTACAGATTAAATCGCAACTCTACGGATCATTATGGAACAATCGATTGAATGGAATTCATCATTCTACATCAATTTCATTGACTACAAAAAAGCATTTGATAGCGTGGACAGAACAACACTATGGAATCTTCTTCGACACTAGGGCGTGCCTCAGAAGATAGTCAATATCATACAGAGTTCATATGATGGATTACACTGCAAAATCGTGGATGGAGGACAGTTGACAAAGTCGTTCGAAGTGAAGACCGGTGTTAGGCAAGGTTGCTTACTCTCACCCTTTCTCTTTCTCCTGGTGATCGACTGGATCATGAAGACGTCAACATCTGAAGGGAAGCACGGGATAAAATGGACATCTAAGATGCAGCTGAACGATCTAGACTTCTCAGATGATCTGGCCCTTCTATCTCGAACGCAACAACAAACGCAGGAGAAGACGAACAGTGTGGCAGCAGCCTCAGCAGCAGTAGGTCTCAATATACACAAAGGGAAAAGCAGGATTCTCCGATACAACACAGCGTGCACCAATCCAATCACAATTGACGGCGAAGATTTGGAAGATGTAAAAACCCTTACATATTTGGGCAGCATCATTGATGAACAGGGTGGATCTGATGCAGATGTGAAAGCGTGGATCGGTAAAGCAAGAGCAGCAGATTTACAACTGAAGAACATCTGAAACTCAAAGCAACTGTCAACCAACACCAAGGTCAGGATTTTCAATACAAATGTCAAGACAGTTCTGCTGTATGGGGCAGAAACCTGGAGAACTACGAAAGCAATCATCCAGAAAATACAGGTGTTTATTAACAATTGTCTACGCAAAATACTTCGGATCCGTTGGCCGGACACTATTAGCAACAACGTACTGTGGGAAAGAACAAACCAGATCCCAGTGGAGGAAGAAATTAGGAAGAAGCGCTGGAAGTGGATAGGACACACATTGAGGAAAGCACCCAACTGCGTCACAAGGCAAGCCCTCACATGGAATCCCCAAGGCCAAAGGAAAATAGGAAGACCAAAGAACACATTACGCCGAGAAATGGAAATAGACATGAGAAAAATGAACAAGAATTGGTTGGAACTGGAAAAGAATGCCCAGGACAGAGTGGGTTGGAGAAGGCTGGTCGGCGGCCTACGCTCCATTGGGAGTAACAGGCGTAAGCAAGTAAGCAATTATATCAACAAATATTATGTAATTATATACATAGAACCCTTTTAATATACATTAACATCTTGATGTTTAATACAACCCATCTAATTGTGTAATGTAACTAATTTTTTTATTTTTCAGATAGCCTAAAGTATAGTATTTGGCTAACCCAAAATGCATTAGTATGCCTTCAATCTTTAATTCATATTTTATTCAAAAATGTAAGTGTCATAAGTTTGTTGATTATACATAGAGAATTTTCCAGCACAATTATATACTAGTTTTGATTGAATGTTTCAAATATACCTCTGATGCTAAAATAATCTTTAATAACTTATAACTAATGTTCATTTCGTGTGACTGTATTCCTGAATTGATACTACTTAAAAAGTACAATCAAGTTATTCCTTAAGTTGTACAATAACTTTAATTAGGAATAATTAATATGGATGTTTGGGTGATATTCAGTTCTTAAAACGAATTAAACTTCTTTAAGGACTTTAAAATAGTGCTTTATTATTATTGGAAACTATAACTATCAAAGTGGTCTTCAGAAATTATACAATAAAGGGAAATGTGTTTTATTTAGTTATTGTGAATAAACGTCGGCACGTTAGATGGTTTGAAAATAATCTTTTTGACAATTATCAAGAATCATTTAATAAAACCAACTGAAGTTAATCTACTGTAAGCAGTTGAACAGATAATAGTTAAGATGAAGCTAAAACTGAGTTTCTGTACACTTCTTGACCGATAATACAGATGGATAGTGGCTAGCAGTGAAATACAGGACGCGCGTTTTATCCTATCTGGGACTCGTTAACCGAATATACCTGCATGTCAGAGTTTATGTTCACTCTGGGACTTGAACCCAATACCGTTCGCTTCAAACTCCATCGCGTTATCCACTTAACTACTGATTCCTGGTAGGCATTAGTTTGTACAATAGGATTAAGTTTAAATTCACTCGGTATTGCTTACTTGAATCATACCATTGATGTTTGGTACTACAACTGATCAGTCACTTATTAGCATATGTGCATACTGTGCGTATTTCCTCAATATTACCTGGGTTAGAGTCCCAAAGTGAACATCAACTCTGAGATACAGATAAATACACCTCGCGAGTCATAAACAGGAAGAAACGTGCGTCCTGGATTCCACTGCTAGCCAATGTCCATTTTTGCATATAATACTTGTGAATTAGGGCTATATCGGGGCAATACGCACAGTATGTACATATGTCAATAAGAGACTGATCAATTGCATTCCTAAACATCAATGGGAAGATTCAAGTAAACAATACTAAGTGAATCCTTGATCGACAGTTTCCTTCCCGCACTTGTTTTACTTATCTCGTTAGAATACAATATACTGATTGACAAATGCATGTGTATGATTTTTGTACAGTTATACATTGCTTATTATTGTTTATCCGTATTGTTTTGCCAAAAATTGGAAAATTGAAATAGTCTATCTAGTATACTAAGTATCTACCCTTCTATCAAACTCAAAATGACGATTTTGCATAGTTTCAGTTTTATTACTTCCCTGTATTAATCCAGTCTTTTTATTACAGTACATTTCTACACCACTTCACGTTTCATAACATATATAATTATCGAGTTTAAATTAATATTATGAATGAATCAGTGTTAAACCATCATTGAAAACCTGAAAACACTAGACGTCCATTTCGTTCTTGTATGGATGCATACTTCTGAGGAGAATAAAACTATGATGAAAAGGTCGTCTAGTAATTCTAGGTTCTCAATGGTAGACTAACACTGATCCATTCATAATATCAATTGAAATTCAACAATCTCTACAACCTTATGTTGATATAATTATCGCTTTTTATATTGTTTCATAGTTACACATATTCGCATCCCGCGGCGTGAGGGATTGTGAATGCGCACTGCTGTTATTAGGAGTCCCATACTAGGATGAAACGGCCGTTTAGTGCTTCCAGGTTTTCCATGGTGGTCTAGCTTCAATTGACTCATGATTTCAACCTGTGAAATTTCTAAAATCTCCACAAAACACATTCTGATAATAATCAACTGCTCACTATCGACTGACTTCAGGAGATAGTCCTGGAGTTCTAGTGAGAAGCCGTTGCCAGTGGAGTTCAACCAGGTCTGTTGTGAGATATCAGCTCACTGAAGACACTGGTGTACCGTGGCGCAACTTCGTGGATTGGTTGAAGTTAGACATTAACACCGTTGGATGTCGGCCGGCTCAGTGGTCTAATGGTTAAGTGCTCGCGCGCAAGACCAGTAGGTCCTGAGCTCGAATCCCGTGGGGTGTGGGACCGTGAATGCGCACTGCTGTTATTAGGAGTCCCATACTAGGACGAAACGGCCATCCAATGCTTCCAGGTTTTCCATGGTGGTCTAGCTTCAATTGACTCATGACTTCCACCTGTGATATATTCATTTGTTTAAATCGTATCTTCTAAGATTTCATTAAACAGTACTTATTAGAATATATTTTTAATGAATAATTTACTTTATTCCTAATGATGAAAGAATAGCTGTAATGTATACAATAGATTGAAATATCGTTAAAAAACATTACACTACAAAAGATTTAAATAAATCCATCCTAATGAATCTTTCTATACTTCATTAAAACAATGAACAGTTTCAAAAAACAAAAAAAAATTTATGAATTACAAATGAAGACAATACAAAAATGAATAAAAACAAATACATAGAAAAGAATTATTCACAAATGAAAATTTTAGGCGGGAATTTTTTACATTCAAATTAAATTGTACAAAAACAAAGAAGTTTCATTTCAATAATAACGATGTAACACATTATAAAAGTATCAATAATTTTATTAATGAATTATCATTACAGTTATTGTTATGATTCAATAACGTTGAGGATTCTTTTAAACTGTCATTGTTAGTTAGTCAGCTAGTTAGTTAGTTATAATTTATCATTTGAATATATATGAATTGAAATTATTGAATTATTAGTTATTGTTCGAATACAAAAGTATAATGTACATTTTAAACTGTTTTATTTGTTTAAAGTATTCAGTTTTCCATTGGCTATGGGTTGTTTTATTGATTGTTGAACATTTTCTATATTAAGATCTCCATCATCAGCAATATAATCATCATAAGATGTTGATACAACAGGTTCAGTTGGACAGAATTCTGGTGGAGGTCTACCATCATATCCTTCATATCCATATTCTAATACTTGATCTAATCTTATTGCAGGATTTGGTTGACGATCAAATGACTCCCATGGTGGTATATCTGTAGTTTTTTGTCCATAGGCTCGAGCAGTAACACTAGGAAATGTTTGTATATCTATACTTCCATTTGTGTCTGCAAAATAAATCGTAAAATAATTCAACATGTTATTTTATTATAAATAATAAACTGTTCAATTAAGCTTCATTTGTTGAAAATATAATATGTTCATCATTATAAATGACCTATATTCAACCTAAGATAAGTTGAGGGAAACAATTTTTTTTTAAAAACAAAGTACTGACAATGTATACCATTGTGATACTTCTGATTTTGTTGAATTAATATTTCATATGATTCGCGACGTGAAACGTTCTATGTCTGTTTGATGGATACATTATATATTACTGAATACTCATTTACATTTTCACCCGAATCTTTCCTACAATCACGTATACTATTGCATTTCGCGTATAAATATTTGCATCAAATCATGAAATATTGGTAAACAAACATGTCTAATGGGTTTACAAATTTATATAGATATGATTAGTTGATCCAACTAAAGATTATACAACTTTCATTTTATATTTTGAAATTAATGAGTAAAAACACTGAAATACAGTAATTTGCTAAGTTACGAAACTTCATGAAACACTACGTAAACGCTACTGTACTAGTAGATTTCAATCGGGTATGTTGTGAGATAGTAACTCACTGATGACAATGGTGGACGACGGCGCAATTTCGTGGATTAGTTGAAGTTAGACATTAACACCATTGGATGCCAGATCACTGGTCTGGTGATTGAGCGTTCACACACGAGACCGGTAGGTCCTGGGTTCGAATCACGAAAAGCGGAATTGTGGATGCGCACTCTTGAGAATTCCCATACTAGGACGAAACGGCCTTCCAGTGCTTCCAGGTTTTCCATGGTGATCTAGCCTTGACTGACTCACGAATTCAACTATTAAATTACTACTCTATTTGAAATTTTAACAAAATTAAGATTTATTATTCAATATCAATTTGAAAAATGCATTTGAATTAGCTTTATTTTATATTTCTACCATTCACAACACACGATATCTGATTTAACAATTTCGGTAATTTAATAATTTTATTCGTAAAGTCAGCTTTTCAACATTCATTGAAAAATTGTTGTGTTTTTCATTATAAACAAACAGTGATTGCTAAAAAAATGCTTGAGTTAAAACGACTATATACAAAACTAAAAGGAAGTTAAGTAGTTGAATTCATGATTCGATCTCAACTAGACCACCATTGAAAACCTGTGAGCACTGGATGGTCGTTTTGTCCCAGTGTGGAGCTCCTCAACAGTGATCATCCGCGATCCCGCACACAAGACTCAAACCCAAGATCTTCGGTCTTGCGCGCGGCCGCTTGACCACTAGACAACTGAGCCGGTATCCAACGGTGTTAATGTCTACTTCCAACCAATCCGTGATCGTGCACAATACTTCATTCATTGTCTGAGTTGGATAATTGTCTCCAGCCGACACAGATTGGACTCTACTGAGAGACATAAACTCACGTCGATTAAGGTTATGCATTTTGAAAGCCTATTCATGTAAATTTGCATTAAAATATTGTGATACCCTCTCTATGTTGTTTATTTACCTGATTTTCTACTTGTTGGTAAGTAACCATTACTCTGATAGGAGCCATTAGTTGTAAGTTGATACGGGTTAGAATTAATATTTCCTTTTAACACTGAATAATCAATCGGTCCATGGAAATCTTTCTCACCTTAAATGCATTTAGAATTATAAACAATGAAAGTACAATGAAACAATAAATATAAAACAAAAATCTGTAGAATTTTTATTGGAACTCATTTGACTAAAGATTAAATAGGTGCTACTCAATACCTTTTAAGAAACGTTTTCAATGAATTCATGTAATAATAGTTACTTTATTTAAATAAGAAAGTGTTGTTATTTATAACCGAACATTTAACTGATGGTAACAGCAAATATTTAAACTCCGTTTCCGTTATCTAACATTGATGCCAACTTGATAAATTTCAAATGGTTGTTAATCATAGCTCCGTTTGACCGGATTTTTTTATTCATAACCATCTTGATTACAAGTTAACTGCCTAAGAAATCACATTAATCTTCTACAAATGCAGGAAGTAAATGTCTCCGTCACGAGAAAAGATTTGAATAAGAGTGATTATTGAACAACATTTGACGTCAGTCGGACATAAATCAAGTTGAAAAACGGATAGGTTAATTTAATTCACTATAGTCATGTCATTATTAATAGATCTGATAATCACTGTCTAAATGCAAATGACTGGAATGTAATATGTTTAAAAAACTGGTTGCATATATCTTGACTGTTTTCATTCACCGTCTTTAAGTTTTTAGTTTAAACTATTTCAGAACATAACTTCAGTTCTCAAATATTGGTTAGTTGGATCGCCCATTGATGTTCAGATCTACAATCGATCAGTCTTTTTCGGCATATATGTATGAAATTGATCAACTGTAGTCCTAAACATCAGTGGTAAGATTCACACGATCATTACGTATGAATTGATATCGAGATCGCCCTCACTTTATAGTCAGGTGATTATCAAGACTTAGTAGCTATGTGAATAACACAGCGGTGTTTGAAGCGAAAGGTAGTCGATTCAAGTCCTAGAGTGAACACCAACTCGGATCCAAGTACACCCAACTGGCGAATTCCAAGCAAGATAAAACATGCGTCTTAAATTCCACTGCTAGCCATCATCCTTCTTTGCTTAAAATATTTTAAAACTTTTATCTCATGGTTTCATTTGTCATGTTAAAACTATATTCACTTATTTTCATTCGTTTCATATTACGATTGGTTTTTTTAACTGTACAAGTCAACATAAAGTGTGTTATCCGGTTCCGATGCACATTTATTCAGGGTTTCATAGCTTCTATGATTATCAAAAATTAATCATCAAAAGCTTGACAAAAAAATATTTAAACTGTAACCATTATACAATGAATATTCCCAAAATTGTACTGATCAAAAAAACACTTTTTCAGAGTATTTACAGGAGATCGCTACAAAATAATGTTACCAAAAAATAAATTCTGAAAACAAAAACATAAATATATTACCTGTACTCCATGGATCATTCATCTGAGTATCTATACCCAACTTTTGATCACTCAGTTCATTGTTAAAATCAATTAAATTAGATTTCTTCTTCTCACGACGTTTGCGACAACAGATAATTAAAAAAATTGTTGCCAACACTAAATGAATTAAGAATAAATAAAAAAAATAATATGATGATTTTTGTACTAGAGATTATAACAACTCTCCTAAAAATCAATTTCCATTATAGTTAAATTTTGCTTGAACCCTTTTATTAACTTACTTAACAAACAATGTTATTCATATAGTAACAATTTGCATATTTCCTTGTACTATTATGATCACTATCTTGTCCATATCAACGTGTACGCTTGATAACATATGACAGCATACTCACATATCTCTAGCTAAAATGTAAATCGCTCTTTTCCATGTATATATGTACTCGAATCCTATTATTAGCCCTTACCTTGCCTAGCTGCGCCTTATTCGATTTGACTATAAGTCAACCTCTGTATTCTCTTCCAAACACACATTCACCTATCTACTTCAATTTCGCTTTATATGCTTATAACTATGTTATCTGTGCTATCCGTAAATAAACTATAGTTGCTGCTTCTTATTGCCTTCTGATTTCAAACACTGTTGAGATTTATAATGATAACAGTTACCAAGTTGATTGATTAACAAAGTAAAACCACTACAGAATAATTTTTTCAGATGTACTTTTATGCATCTGATGTAAGTTTATTATTTGGATTTTTTTTAATATATCAATTGAGAAACCACTTCAAACACATATGCCAATAACAGACTGATCAATTGCAGTCTTAAACCTCAATAGGAAGATACAAGACAAACAATACCAAGTCAATTAAACTCCTTAGATTATTATATCTAAATATATATATAACTTATAAACTACATTTTTTTAAAAAAAGGTATAGGATATTTCCACATAATCACCTTGGTTACTTAATCATATTTTCTATAAATTCTTAATCAATTATAAACTTATTACAAGCTTAATTAATTTTTGAACAGATTTACAAATATGACTCGAAAAATAAAAAAAAAATAAATCTAGTTAATAAATATAAACTGTAATTCCTTTTAACCTTAGTTAAGAAGAAAAAAAAGAATTCCCGTACAGAATAAGTAACATTCATCATAATGTAAAGAATCATTTATATCATCTTACTATTATTCCATAAATCAAAAATATCATGACTTTTGTGTGTGTGTGTTTGTTACGAATTTCAAAAGACTTATGAATAAGTAATCCTCATGAATTCTGCCGAAGAAGTTTAAACAGCATATGCAAATGAATTTAATAACTGAATATTATAGAATAAAAGAATCATAAAGGGTCTACTATTAATGTTTTAAGATTTTATGACAATCTTTTTGTCTAGGTGGCGTGATTACGTATTATATATATATATATATATATATATATATATATATATATATATATATATATATATATATATATGTCGGATAAATTGAAGCAGTTCACAAGTACCGACGTAAATACATGTTTGATTAAAGAAAAAAATACTTCGTGACTCACATATCGCTAACAGTAGTAGAACAACAAGTAGAATCCACCACCAACTTAGACCAGCTATATTTACGCTTGAAACTTGGTTACATAATGGTCCAGTCCAGATTCCATAACAAATACATGTAAAATTACTAGCACCATTAAGTACATGACATTCACCATTAACACATGGGTTTGGATAACATTGTGATGGAACACATTTACCCTTGTCATCTTTAACTGTGTTATTCAAGCATCTAGGAAAAAAATTTTGAAATTTCATCAATGAAATCATTTTTTTTCATTAATTCATCATTAGTAAACTTAGTACCACTTCTGTTTTGTACTGTTAAACGAAAAAGTAACGTTCCGAATACAAGCGCATTAAAATATTATAATTACAAATTTGTTATGTAATTCAATGTTTAAAAACAAGATTAATGTTTTAATGAAACTCAACATTTGATTATTGATGAAATTCCGTGTTTTATTAATTAACTTTATTGATTATGGTATAATGAGTTGACACAAGCAAGTTACTTAGAAATGTTTACTTATCCCATTTCGGTACTGAAACTACTGTACTTGATTGTATTATTGTAATTATCATATTAGCTGAGTCCGATCGATGAAAAAGATAGAAAAATGTTTCAAATCATTAATGGTTGCGAATTTTTTCACTGCAGCCAACTGATATGCGGATATATATTCAGCTATATAATCATACATTACGGCTATTATGAAGGTAAAAACAAATCATCTTGTTCCTCTTTTAAGGTTACTCTGAATGACTGAATTTTTAAATCATTTCACAGTGTATCATTATCAGATTCATTGTACCCCATTAGTCTTAAACATCTGACTATAGTTATCGAAAGTTTATGTCAATAATTGTATTAACCTAACATCATCGTATACCAGTAAAGCGATTGAGAGTTATCAAATGAAATTACAACTAAGACATTTATCGTAACACTAAAAAACGTATTTAAATCATATTGAATAAGTGAAAATAAACTCGGAATAGTAAAAGCCCATGAAATTTACAAATTATAGGTATGAAAATTCCGTTCATATAAATAGTTTATTTTCAACGTATTCTTAGCCGAATTCTAAATTCACCAAAGAAAGATGGTTAATATTAAAAAACGACAGTTTTGTTATAGCAGTGCACTTAATTGGACATTGCACAATTAATTAGCTTACAAATAATAACTGACATCACCTAGAAACTTACTCGCATCGATAACTTCTCCATTCCTCTATACAAGAAGCGGTAATATCACAAAGACTTTTTGAACTATTACAAAACCCAGGACCACTTGAACAACCTGACTGTCTGCCAACTGTACCCCAGTCTGTATACCGTTGAAATGATGGGTTACTAATGATTTCCAATGGATAATCTTGTTCAAAATCAGGCCATATATTACGGAAATCGATCCAAGCATCATCCAGACATGCTATAAGTAGATAAAGGATAATAAACGATTCACTATAAACTAATGAGTGATTTCTGATCGTTTTGAAGGTATGCAGTAAAATACAACTTAATTTCTTTTGTGCCAGATGAGTCCGAAGTAGGAGACTAGCGGGACAGTGCGCGAAAAACAATTATTAACAATCAATATTGATATCGAACATTTATGGTGACAGTCTGATTCTTAGTTTATAGCACACACTCCCTTTAGTTAAAAGATAGATAGAAACTGGAATGCCCAAAAAAGCTGTTTTGTTTTATTGCATTACCTCTCGTCAGTAAACATCTACGACACTGACAAAGATCGAATCCAGAACATTCAGGTTTTCGGATTGGGCGTTTTCTATGAAACCTGAAGATCTGTAGGTCAATGTCATGCGAATTCATGAGTCCAATTTTCTGAAGCGTTATATACCAGAGTAAAGCAGGTGTTCAGTGCTTTCTGGTCTTCGACGACTGTCTAGTTACATTCAATCCATAATGTAATGACAACCGATTTGAATTCACAGGTTTGTGGTATAATTTGTTATGCTATTCAAACAAGTTGCTGTTTTAGTCCTCTTAATATGTAACTTACCAAAGATCAAAACAAATTAACTCGCAACATATACGACTGAAATTTATTCAGACAAGCAAATTTGGTCGTAATTACTTAAATGAATAATCATGGCAATCTCTTATCATAATAAATGGTTATGTTGATCTTGAGATATATTATTGATAGATATAGTGTAAATTGGGGAATGAAATGACAATAGTTGGATAATTTTGTTGTGAAGATATCTTACCCTCCAATATTAAACTGATAAACTTAGTAGATTTGGGAAATCATTTGGTTTTTTCTAAGCTGACGTCATGTAGTTCACACAATAGGTATTGCTGACTAAACTGTTAAAGGGTCAAATTAAATTATTAGTGACCACTGAGTCACTAAATCAACACTTAACTTTCCATAACTTTCTACATAAAGTCAAGCCAACACCCTTAGGTTGATAATTGTATTACATAATGAGTTATCAAATCTAACGCTTAGTGAAAAGTTTTAAATTAATTACAGTGATTTTCTCACCGTGGTATTTTGTTTAAAAAACTTTCTGATACCTCGAAAGTATACGTCCTTAAATTTCTACCACCAACTATGCAACTATTATTCATTTCATCAAGTTTTGTATATCTTATAAACTAATACGTCCTTACAGATCACAAATACGCATCAATTAGCTTATGAAAAACGTTTATGAAACTTACTGTCTTTAGCTCCGTTTGCAATAATTATATCAACTGAACCTCTTGAAATTGATTTCTCTGGAAAATATCTTGAATCATAATATATTTTATCTAGTTCATCGACCTGAAAATCTAAAAATCTTTTTAAAGAAAAAATGTTTTAAGTCTTGATAAAGGTCATTGGTTGCTAATTGAATCAAAATAAATATCCGTTAAACAATGATTCTACAAAAGGTTTAATATTCATTCAGTATTTTTAAGTAAAAAATTAGAAATATCTGTCACTAGCTTACCAACTATTCATACTACTATTTGTTGGGAAGCATTTTTATTGTAGACTATTCAGTGAACCTTAAAGTTATCACTTAACTTCTTGACATTTCTGACTGTGAACACACAATTATTAAAACATAACGAGTATTTTGAACAACCAATAAATATTAACTTCTATCTCATGAATAAATCACTGAAACATTCAAACTAATAGAGTATAATAAATATTTGTTACTTCCACAATTGATTGATCACTGGGTGGCGATCAATGTTATGCGTGTCTAGTCCTTATTTAGTGTAGATTAAATGCTATCGACCATGTTGCAATGTATCCATCAGTCTAGGTGACTCGACACTGCGTGCACTATATATTGAGATTAGATGGTGGTTGGAGGTAGTCGACAGGAAACCCTGGACCCAGATTTCGTGCTATTTGGCACTCGTCAGCAAGGTGTACCTGTAATCTTGAGGGAACTGGTGCTCCCTGGAGGATTCGATCTCATCTCACTCAGCTTCACAGTCACAGACGTTACCACTGAGCTATCCGAGCCGTGACTAACCTCCTGTAGGACTGAGATGTAATCACAAATGATTGATCACAGGAGGTCGGTCGCAGCTCGGATAGCTCAGTGGTAACGTCTGTGACTGTGAAGCTGAGTGAGATGAGATCGAATCCTCCAGGGAGCACCAGTTCCCTCAGGATTACAGGTACACCTTGCTGACGAGTGCCAAGTAGCACGAAATCTGGGTCCAGGGTTTCCTGTCGACTACCTCCAACCACCATCTAATTTGTTACTACCATAACTTGCAAATAGTTTATGTTTACTTCAAAGTTTTAACATCCTTAAATTCTTGGAAACTTGACTAGTAAGAATTAATGAATTAACTTATTTGTTTAACAACTAAACGAATCTAATTGCACAAGTATGTGAAAAAGTTATTACAGATTATCATTATTATTATTAGTATTATTATTGCAACAATGAATACTCTATATCGTTTATTATGATGGTAGTAGAAGCTTTTAAATCTTCCTGTTGTACAATATACTGAATTCCATGAATATCTGTTTGTTTGTTCTTTTTGCTTTTTAAATATCTTATTGTTCAAATCTTCCATAATAAATCAAGAAGCTTTATATCGATTCTGTGTCTTCATTATGAAAACTTTATTTATTATAGATTTGAGAATATTCTTAGTTTAGAGAAAACTCTTTGAAAAAGGCCGATGACTTTCTGATACTTTATTACCTCAACTTTTAATAACATATGTTTCTCAGAAAAATCATTGATTTCGGATGAAATTTTCTCTAGATTAATCATGATATTATACATAACTAGATTTCGAAATAAAGAATGTTTAAGTGAACAATTATTTGAAATAACTTTGTTATCAGGCTTTACAGTTATGAGTCTATAAATATTGTGTTATTTTACAAAGACCTCCTGCTGAGTTAGTTAGATTGATCATACGCTGAAAGTTTTATCCTTGTGTACCTGTGAACATGTACCACCATAGTCGCAAATGGAAGTTACCAAGCATATTAACAGCCCCATCCGTCCTCATTTGATAGATAGTGGGCATTATATTGAAATAAATGAAGCCTTCTCTGTTTGATATCAAGTTCCAGGTAATATATCTAAAGGAGCTAGATTACAATTCTTTTACACAGTCTGGATTACCTCCAAATAGCTCAACTTATGTGTCGAAAAGAGGTATGTTAAACCTTGGTCCATAACTGGATGACTAGACATCTAAACTGGATATTATAAACCTCTCATTCTCTCGATCTTTTCTGCATTTATACCATTCTCAGTCTACACATTCATCTTTTCCAATTCACACGAATCCTTATCATGAATACCTTGACAGTATCTCTCTTAATACATATTATATTTGCACAAAATTACCAAGACAAAGTTCTCTTACTTCGCATTATATTAACCTTATTTTATTACTATTATACTGGTTAAAAAATAGACACATTGTGACGAATCATTCTGACCTTTAATAAACAACCTTCCTAATATACAAGTGACACATTTTTCAAGTATTTATGACTTAACGGATGTGAAAAATCACCATTTTTAACATATACCATTATAATCATGAACCGATCAATGTTAGACTACCATTGAAAACCTGGATACAGCGGATGGTCGTTTTTCCCTAGTACGAGACTCCTCAGTAGTGAGCATCCACGATCTCCCAAGCATGACTTAAACCCATGACCATTAGTCAATTCATTATCTGAATTATCTACAACAATTTCCATGGTTTCATACTGAATATAACATTGTTTAATTTACTAGCATGACTTATTTCGGCCTTTGTAAAAAATGGCATATTAATTATGGACTTATAACTGTAGAGTCTGATGACTAAGTTATTGTAAACAATTGACCGTTCAGATATTCTTTGTTTTTGAAAACTCTATATAGATTTGTAAAATGATAAAACTGATATCATATTACCAAATGAATATACTGACTGAAATACTTGTTTACTTATAAATTAAAATTTATATTCTAACCTGTCAAACAGTACTATTTCATAGAAAAAAATTCAATGTTTGATAGTTAAACATTTTCTCAATAAAATTAATTTACTCACCTTGATGTAAATGTGACTTCAAAGACATGCCAATTTCCATCCGAAATGTTTAGTGAATTTAACGTAATTACAATATTATCGAAACGTAGTTCAGGTATTCCATTTGAAACCTGATCATTTTAGATAATAAACAAAAAATATTTCCGTAAGTAACAAGATTAAATAATTCATGTTCACACATGTGAGAAATAGATCTGTTTTGAGGGTATTTTTTTAACGAATAATCTTCGTGAAAAAATATTATGACATGATTATATCCGTTTATGATTTGTAGGAATGTGAATAGTCTCTTGTTGGCATACGTGCATCCCGTGCGGATTCCCTCGATATAACCTTAGGTCGTAAGCTTTTTTTATGCAAAGAGAATGATCAATTGCAGTTCTAAATAACAATAGGAAGATACGGGTAAAACAACACTAAGTGAATTTAAACTTCACCCCATTGCATAAGCAGGTGACTTTCAGGACTCAGTAGTTAAATGGGTAGTGCGATGGCGTCCAAAGCGAACGGTAATGGGTTCGAGTCCAGGAGTGAACATCAGTTCTGAGATACGGGTAGATCTAGCTGACGATTTTTAAATAGGACGAAACGCGCGTTCTGTATTCCACTGTCAGCCACTATCTATCTTTGCCTAAATCTACCTAGTTTAGATACGAACTCATCTGTTATTCTTCATCAATAACATATCATTCACATATAATGTAATTGTTTAACTGACAAACTGGAATCCAGAGAAAAAAATTGTGTAAGCCGTAATATAATAGAATAATTTCAAACAAATTTAACTATTGAAAATATTCAGTAGCTCGTACTAACAATTATGCTTGCAAATTAACCAATAGATATTCATAGGTAGAAACGAAAAACTCGATTTTTTAGTTTTATTTTATTTCTTTCTATCTAAACACTTGCAATACGAAATAACTTATATAATAAATCAACATCTTTACTAATACTGAGTTAATATTATGTCATTAAGCTTTCTTACTTTAATTTAATACCTTAATAAGTTATAATTCGGTTGATCAACAACTTACTAATAGAATAACGTTTGGTACTTCTAATATTTATTTATCAATCTATATTATGTAGATTATGCATAAAAAATGAAGTAAGATAATCTAATGTAGCACACATTTCTAATGGAATACTCATAAATACTTATTGAATTATATTAATGCTTTCGTGTTATAAGCACTTTAGTAAGAAATGTTCTGAAAACAGAATTGAATACAATGAATCAATCAGTAGAACAATTTCATATTACTTATATGGTCTTAGTTGATGATTCACAATATATACAGTATAAAAAGTAGTAAATGATTTGTAAACATTTCATCTTAGATGACTGTGTTATGAAGTAGGAAAAAATTGTGTAAAATTTCAAAATACCATTTTATTCATTTGACAAATTTAAAAATATTACAATAGAAGTAAACTTTTAAATTGTACAATTTCATGAATTGGTTGAAGTTAGACATTAACATCATTGGATGCCAGCTCAGTAGTCTAGGGGTTGAGCGTTCGCGCGCGAGACTGATAGATCCTGGTTTCGAACCCTGCGAGGCGAGGTCGTGGGTGCATATTGTTAGGAAGTCTCATACTAGGATGAACCGGTCGTCCAGTGCTCTCAGGTTTTCCATGATGATCTAGCTTTAATTGACTCATGAATTCAACCATTATATTTTTAAATGACAATATCAGTGAGTCAGTAAGCTACAACGTAAAACCAGGACAACTGCGGACACTCATTTGACTGGAAAAATGTGGAAATCTTGGATAGAGGTATTTCCAAAAACATCAGAGAATTTTTAGAAGCTTGGCACTCATGTCAATGAGCAATCAACAAGCACATTAAAATTGATACAATTTATCAATCACTCGGGGAAATTATTCACAAACATAGGAACAAAAATCAAACCAATGGGAGATACAACCAAAACAAAGAAGTAAATAATGACAAATTTAAAGTCAACAAGAACCAATCAACACCGAGGTTTACAGGACAAGCTGTGAACCATATATGAAGAAATTCGAACGCTTCACTTCTACCTAAAGTTTGTACTGATGATGTCGTTCAGAAGAACAATGAAAGCCCCACAACTAAACCATCCAGCTCAGAGAGTAAAGCCGGGCACATATATGCATCGGTCTAACTTGCTACACTTCATTAGCACAACAAGATAAACATAAACTCCATAAAAGTAGTTATTTCAATAGTAGTAATATATATAGAAGAAAGATTATGTATAACGCTATAATACAAGAAGAACCAATTAGTTTATAGAAAGAAAAATTTATAAAACAATTTTATTCTCACGGTTTAAGGGAAGACAATAAGTATGTATACACTTACACTATTGTGATCGATTCTAAACCATGTCACCCAATATAACACTAAAAAATTATTTTAAACATTAACCAAAAAGTTCTCACCAATCAACATGGTTACTATATAAATATAAATTTATTTCTTTAAAAGTATTTTACATTTAACTACAAATAACTAAATAATACTTGTATATATATTTTAGTTACATTCAAATAAAAAAAAAGAAAAAAAAGGAAAAGAAAAGTGTTACATTTCATGTCATTGTTCTTCTGTTACTGACATTTTTAAGAAAACTTAATACTTCAACGAAGTTAACTGTAACGTAAATTAATATGACATGACACTTGTGTTTGTTACCATTTTTCTGTTAAAGTTATTATTACATTGTTTTTTTCTATTTTTAATATTGATCAATATTTCTATGATATAATCAACATATTGATGTTTGAAAAAAAAAAGATGAGACAAGAAAAAGAAAAGCATCCAATTCAAATAGTTTAGAAGAACAAAAAATTTTAAAAAAATTCTTTTCTCTTTCAATAACAAGGGGAATGAAAATAGAACAACAGGAATGTTTTACAATTTTATTTCAATGGTTATACATAGTTACTTAACGGTACGTTGAATATATATATATATTTTGAATAGTGACAGATAAATAAAATGCACATTTTTGAAATATAAATGAATATGAATTAAGTTTTGAAGATTAGTAGAAGAATTATGCATATTACATGAATAGGAAATATATTGCGAACATTATCAAACAACTTCACAAGGCAAGCCTTAATTTGGAATTATGAAGTTAGAAAGAAAAGAGACAGATCAATGAAAAGAATTCTTCTGGAATTGGTGGTAAACATCAGAATAATAAATAACACTTAAAAACAAATGAAAGGAGAGCACAAGACAGAGTTAGTTGCTGAATCGAAGTCGGTCACTCATGATCCACAAGGTGTTATGAGTGTAAGTATGTACGCACATTATATGACTGACTGCAGTGTGAGATAATGAATGAAATGGCCATAACACTGATATCTCATGTTTTAATATAAAAGTTTATAAGCATAATAATAATCATCATAATAATAGTTTGATGTATGGCACTATTGAATCTATAACATTTTATTTAGTTTAACTTTGTTTATACGACCAAATGATACATAAGATCCAACGAAATATATCTATAAGTTGTATGGATTTCAAGAAGAGTAGCTACTTAACATCTGTCAGCAAGGTGTACCTGTGATTATGAGGGAACTGATGCTTCTTGACGATTCCGATCCCTTAACACCCAGCTTCACAGTCAGAGACACTATCCGGGCTGCGACCGACCTCCTGTAGGAGTGAGATGTAATGAAAACTGATTGATCACTGGGTGGTTATCAATGTCATGTATGTCAGGTCCTTCTTAGTGCAGATCGAATCCTATCCTGCTTAGACCTGTAATATTTTTATAAGCCAATAATGATTCTTAAATATGTTATAAGAAATTACATTGGCTATATATAAACTGTGTTATATTGCACTGAAGTGATAGTGAAACATGATTATGTATCAAGCAAACTGATAGTCATCAGTTCATCTTTTGTTTACTTGTTATGACCATGTATCAGCGATATATCACAATGAAATAAATACATCTACAAGAATAGAATCGGTAAATCTTTGTCGTATCATATCGGTTTACAACGGAATATACAAGTGATTTTCTGCAATAACTCAACAGGACAAGTTATAAAATATAAAAATATTATATCACATTTCTGTAATCTAATTATACAAATGCACGCTCGAATTGTATGAGAAATTCCAAAGGATTAGATATATTATAATTTCCTTCTAAATGAGTCTATCAGTTAAATAATAGAAAAGACGATATCCCGCAAAGTGAGAAGTATATAAATTTACGCGTATCTAGGTTATTCAGTATTGCACATTATTAAAGTTAATGAAACGTAAATTAAAGCATCTCAGTAAATACAAAATTGAAGATAAAACGAAATAAAGTCACATACAATAGTGTGCAAGTAATATTCATAGTAGAATAACAGTATTTGATCATGCAACTATTTACTGAATCCATGTTTTATAGCTTTGCTACAAAATGTTAGTTGGAAACGAAAACGTCAATATTTATCAATAGGACTGATAAGAAAGCCATTAGTTCAAAAAATAACTTGTATTTATAGGCAGAGATAATGGTGCCTAATATTGAAATCAAAGACGCGCGCTTCGTCTTATTTGAGGTTCGTCAGATGTTTTTGCCTGAATCTCAGAGTTGGTGTTCATTCTTGGACTCGAACCCAGTACCGTTCACTTCAAACGTTGTCGCGTTAGCCACTTAGCTACTGAATCCAGATGGTCACTAGCTTATGCTTATGATGCTTCTGAATGAATGCAGTATCGAGGAAATTCAAACCGGATGTACATATGCCAACAAGAGATTGATCAGTTGCAGTTCTAAACATCAATACGAAAACTTCGGCAACCAATACAAAAATGAGCTTGTCTTTAGTTCAAAAATTCAATTTCAGATTATGAATACCTATAACTTTTGTTGCTTCAAATCATATAGTTACTATTCGTTTTTTTGCAAATACAAACTTCATTATTGAGCTTATTAATCGTTAAATAACAAAATATCCACCAAAGATTCGATTACAAAGTTTCACTCAAATGAATTCCAAAAATCAAGTCTAATCTCATCTTTTTTTGGCTTACAAATTATTATAATGTCTCGAGTGATATCTAGTCGTTATTAAAGATTATATAAAA